TTTGAGTTATGGTCATACGTGTGTTATTTAGCTGTGTATGAGTTTCCTTCTTCTAGACTGGTTCCTCTGTCGAAGAGATAGAGTCCTTCCTATCCTTGTAACGGCCTAGTTTGGGAACTTAAGAAGAAGTCTATTTGCGATGATTTGTAGAGAGCCAGTCCCCTTCCACCCCATCCGCGTCGTGGGCCAGGCTCGCTCGATGTTTAAACTAGAAGATACTGAGCTCGGCGGTTGTCTCATTCCTTTGTCCTTTCCTTAGGCCCAATTTAAATTGTGTCCGTTTCTGAAGCATTTTCATGCTGTCCTCTACAATGACAATGTATAGTGCAAAGGATGCTGTACTTGCAGCAAATGCAGGATTTGCATGGTGGAGTGTTGCTCTTACACGAACAGCAGTTTTCACTTAGCAGTTCATCTGGGGCCGGAGCATTGTCAGTTATCACTGGACTCACAATGTTGACACTCAGAGTAAAGTTGTCATCAACAAAGTCAAAGACAGTGCGTAGATTACGCCATGGATTAACCTGGTGATGCACTCTAAGGGCATGGAATTGTGCGGCTGATAAGGCCACCTTGTGTTTTTCCAGCTCGCATAAGACGTTGCTCAATTGTCATGTCTGTCCACGTTCCATAACCAATAGAAATGAATAGATATGGAAATCTAAGGCTAGATCTAGATCTAGAATTCAGATCTAGATATAGATCTAGATAAATTAAATCTAAATAAAGCTAGATCTACCCCTAGAATCTTGATTTTTAAAAATCTAATTTATCTTCACATTATAAAAAAATAAAATTTCAAAGAAAAGAAAACCTTTTCGTTTCAGTTGTTCAACTCTATACGCCTTTGCAGTCTAAACGATCAAGAGGAAAACTAAAAAAAACCCAGCTGAATTAGTAAATGAAAGTAACGAACAAGCTATAAATTAACCAACAATAAGGAGAGTCCGAATCATTGTAAATGTATCTTACAACCGCTACCCAGAAAAAAGAAACCTTTAGGCCTACCCTAAAGGCACATAGAATAGTTGACACCGTAAATATAACAACGTTGCTCTAAAAATACGTCACGTGTACTTGATCTTTAAGAGCATGTAATATAAAGTGTAAAGGCATTCAAAAGAAACAAAATTAATACTGTTAATCGTCATTTCATCAAAAGGCACCGCAAAAGGGATTCACAACA